GCGGCCACTGCACTCCAGTCTGGGCGACAGAGTGAGACTCCAACTCAAAAAAAACCAAAAAAAAACAAAACAAAAGAACATCTTGGTAATTTGAAAGGCCCACATTCTAATGTCTAATGTTATATTAGCCAGGATTGTGTTCATATTGAATCATTTTGACCTACAGAAACTTCATTTTAATATGGCTCAGCTTCATAGTATTTTTCAGGGCCATGATGGGTCTACCTATGCTGGTGGCTCATTTGAATTCTTGAGCTTTCCCATATCACATTCATTTGCTTCCTGTCACGTGTCATTATGCTCCAGAACATAGGGTGTCTAGCATATTTTGAGTATCCTCTGTTTGTTACTAAGTAATGCAGCATCTGATGGGGGAAGGGGCAGCCTCTTGGTTCCACCTAAAGAAAGAACTTGTGCACAGTCTTGCATTGACTCCAATGTGGATACTGCTTTTGTGTAAGGTGGTCAGTAGAGGAGCAATAGATAGCTGCTCTTCTGCAATGTTCTTCTACATCACCTGTATCTTTTATATCTTTAACTTAATTAGTTAAGTCTGTTTTGCTTCAACACCTGCATCTTACCAAGGAAGTTGACAGGGATGTGCTCTAGACCTCTTGCTTTTTTATTTCAGCTTTTCTTCTGCTTTTATGGGCAAGACCTATTTTTATCAGTATCACATTGTATCCTAGACACTTTGCTTTTATTCCTACCACCTTCCACTCATTTACAAAATTTCAAAACAGAATCAGACTAAAATATGCAATATGTGCTAGACTTAGGATTCGGGGAAAATTGCTGAATATGGACACTTACTTCTTTGATGTCTGTTGTAGTACTAAATGACTACTGTGTACTTGAGCTTATGCCATATGCTTTGTGTCTGTTATTTCTGCTAATCCTTACCATAGTTCTGAAAAATAGGTAGGTGCTACTTTTTTCATTTTTCAGGTGAAGACACGAAGGCTTAGAGAAGTAAAGTGACTTACTCAAGATCATACAGCTAGTTAGTGTAGTGAGTGACAAAGTCAAAATTCAGATTTCTAGCCCATGTTCTTAAAAGGAAAGATGCTAGGGATGATCGTGTTACACTTGTTCAACTATGTGTATTTAATATTTTAGGATAAGTATTATAGTTAGTTCTGTTTTACTGGTACAACTACTGCTAATAATATTTAGCATTAATTGAACACTTAACTGCTAATAGTTAACTTTTTTGAACACTTGTGATGTTCTGGGCACTGTGCTAGGTGCTTTAACTTAATGTACTATTTGCGACAGACCTAAAAAATAGATAGTGATGATTCTCATTTTACGTGTACATAAACAGAGGCACATAGAAGTAAAGTAGCTTAGCCCAGCTCACTTAGTTAGGAAATAGTAGTTCTGAGATTACTTACGTGATACAGAAAAACGAAACAGACTTGATAGCGTACCTTCAGAGTTTTCAGGTCCTGTCAGAAACTTCCTCTTGTTAATTTGCCTCACCTTAACTATCCAATAGAGGAAAGATCATCAACGTTTGTATACTAACCCTGAATTGTACCCCACATCTTTATAATAAAAAACAAATAAATAAATAAAGTACAACAGGAAGTCGGTCAAAAAAAAAAAGAAGAAAAGAAACAAAAAAGGCAATTTATACTTTAGTTCTACTATTCTTTCATTTACTCTGACCAGTGTATGGCTAAAAAAAATTACGAGAAATGCAAAGAAGAAGTAAAACACGGTGAGAATAAGCAGACTTCTCACAGGTGACCTGATTATTGGAAACAGTAGACAAGATCCTTAACACACACACGTGCACACACACAAGTCAGAAGATTTAAAGGAAAAGATACACACAGTTTAGGAAAGAAATGAGTGTGAGCGGCTGTTTATTCTCACTATAGTTTTTGTTTCTTTATATTAATGTAATTGTACATTTTAATTTTCCTCTCATAAGAGTATTAAAACATAAACAAGAAAACAAATGCAGAAAGGAATATAAGATTTGAACAGTTTCAACCAATTCAAGTGGCTTTTAGAGAATACTAAGCAACAGCAGAGCATAGATTATTTTGAGGCACATGTACAACATTCACAAAAGTAGACTAGTACAGAACTATGCAGCAAGTAAATGTCAAGAGACTGACACATTGAAGCATCATGTTGAGTTTGTTCTCTGGCCACAAAGAAACATTTCAAACATTTGGAAATTAAAAGACATGTAATAGTACCAGTTTTACACATAGAAAAAGAGGAGGTAGAAACATTTTCTGACTCATGATGCCAGCATAATCCTTGATAGGTCAAAGAAGAAATGACAGGAGGAAGTAGAAAACATTTTAAGCTGAAAACACATATCAAAATTCTGTGGGATCAAGTTAAAACAGTGCTCAGGAGGGAGTTTATTTTTTTTTAGATGCTTGTGTTTACAAAGATGAAAGACCTAAAAGTAGTACACTAATAACTTCTATAAGACATTAGCGAAAGAGAGCAATATAAAGCCAATTAAATAGATGGAAGGAAATAATGAAGAACAGAAATAAGTGAAATAGAAAGCAGACAAATAATAGAAAAACTTAACAAAGCTAAAAGTTTGTTATTTGAAAAGTTTGATAAAATCGATAAACCTCTAGTAAAAGTGATGAAGAAAAAAAGACAAAACACGTATTACAAACATCATAAATGAAAGAAGGACATCTCTACAGATTCCAGTAGAATATTACAAATAATTTTATGCCTGTAAACTCGACACTTTAGATAAAATGGGCAAAATTATTGACAGACACAACTTGCTAAAACTGAGAAAAGAAGAAGCAAAATAGCCAAATAGCACTGTAATTGTTACAGAAATAAATTTACAATTTAAAAGCATCCTGTAAGAAAATGCATTTAGCTTCACCGCTTACATTTATCAAACATTTCGGTAAGAAATCGTACCAGTTTTACACATATTCAGGAAATAGAGGAAGTGGAAATATGTTCTTACTCATGAGGCCACATAACCTCAATACCAAAATGCAACAGAGATTTTACAAGAAAAATAAAATCATAGGCAAGCATCCTCATGAATCTAGTCACAGAAATCCTTATTAAGATTTTAGCAAATGCATAAAACTGATGATACAGCTTAAGTAGTGGGGTTACTATGAGGAAAACAAGATCAGTTTTATGTGGGAAAATAGATCAGTCAGCATAATTCACCATATTAACATAATAATAAAAGCAAATTTGCATGTTGACACCAGTAGTTACAGAAAAAAGCATTTGCTAAAAGTCAACATTTCTATAAGGGAAAAACTCTCAGTAAATAAAGATAGAAGGGAACTTAATCTAATGAAGAGAAATTACAAAAAAGCTATTGCTGACATTATATGTAAAAGTGAAAGTCTGATGCTTTTCACCTAAAATTGGGAGGAAGTCAAGGATGTCCACTCTTACCATTTATACATTGTAATACAACTCCTCACCAACACACTTAAAAAAAGAAAAATATAAAGATTAGAAAGGACAAAATAGAACTGTCTTTTTTCAGGTAATATGGTTGTATTTGTGGGAAATCCTAAGTAATCAGCAACAACAACAAATAACCCTAGTAGAGTTGATAAATGAACCAAGTGAACTTAGTAAAAATCACAGGATTCAGATTAGTATTCAAAATGCGATTGTATGTCTACACGTTAACAACAAAACAATTGTAAGAGGAAATTTTAAAACATAGCATTAAAAAATTGAAATGTTTAGTCATAATTTGACAGTATATAAGACTTTTATTACAAATACAAAACATTGTCAAGAAAAATTAAAGAAGACCTAAACGAAGGAGAGTTATGCCATGTTTGTGCATTGAAAGGTTAAATATTGATTACATGCTGTTTCTTTTATGTTGACTTACACCTTCAACAGAATCCCAGTCAAAACTCTGGCAGACGTTTTTTGTAAAAACTTGTGTATTGATTTTAAAATTTATATGGAAATGCAAAGGACCCAGAGTAGCTAAAACTATTTTGAAAAAATAAAATTGAAGAATGTGTACTATCTAATTTCAGCACTTAATTTACAAAACCCAAGTAATCAAGATATTAAGGTATACAAGCAGTCCAAGATAACAGAATGGAGAGTCTAGAAATAGTCCCATACTGAAGTGAGTTTTGATAAGGGAATCAAAACACTTTAATGGGGAGAAGTATTTTCCACAAAGTGTCCTGGCACAACTGGGTAACCCAAAGGAAGAATATTCATCTCAGTCCCCACCTTCTACCAAACATTAAAGTTAATTAAATCTGGTTACTCAATGTAAAAGCTAAAACCAATACTTCTAAAAGAAAAATAGGATAATCTTTTCACTCTTGAAGTGAGCAGAGATTTCTTAGAACACACAGAGTGCTAAACACAGTTGTTGGATTGGGCTTTGTCCAAATTAAAAACCCAAACATAAGCTCCATTAAGAAAATGAAAAGACAAACCACAGATGATGAGAAAATAACAGTATGCATAATACAGATACCTGACACAAAGCCCCTACAATGCAAAAATAAAAAATGCCCTTTTAAGTGGGCAAAAGAACAGACATTTTGCAAAAGGAAACCTGCTCGAATATCCAATAAGCACATGTAAAAGTGTTCAAAATCATTAGTCAGTTAGAAAGTGCAAATTTAAATGATAACGAGATGCCATTTTATACCTGTTAAAATGGCTAAATATAAAAATACTGAAAATCCAAACTGTAGATGCGAATTGTGTAGCAGCTAGAACTCTCATGCATTGCTCATGGCAGTCTCAGATGGATGCAAACCACTTTGTAGAAATTCAGCAGCTTCCTATAAAGTTGCATGTATACCTGCTCTTGATCCTGCAAACCCATTTCTCAGTATTTACCTAGAAAAATGAGAGCTCATATTCACAAAAAGATATGTACATGAATGTCTGTGACAGCTTCATTCTTAATTGCCAAGTGTCTAATAATGGGAGAACAGAAATACAAATGGAGGTATTTTAATATAGTAAAATACTATTCAGAAATAAAAAGGAACACATTTTAAAAAATAATTCTAAAAAACATATTAAGTAAAAGAAGTCAGACATAAAAGAGTATATAGCTTGTATGAATCATTTATAGCGCCTATATAGACACCACTCATAGATGTTTAAGAGCAAATGCCTTTTAATCTTCCATTCTATAAATCAGAACAAAGTTGTGGCATGAGGGTGAATGGGCTTGTGGGGTGGCAAGAAATTGGCTGGTTAGGGACACAAGTAAACTTTTTTTGGATGAGAAAAGTGTTCAGTATCTTTATTAGGCTATAATTTACATGGATATGATTACATGGGTGTTTACATTTGTGAGTTCTTGTCAACAGTACACTTAAGATCTGTGCATTTCATTCTATAAAAATTATGCTCAATAAAAAATTTAAGAGACGCTGTAAATATTGGAACAATTGCAAAATCATTATCATCAAAAATAGATTGCTATATCAGGAAAATATAAAAGAACCAACTGAATAACTTTTTTTGAGGACAGTTTACAGTTAAACATAATTATATGAAGTTAATATTTGTGCTTTTATTAATTAAATAAAATGGAAACATTCTTAGCCGTAAAATACTAATAAACTCAAAGCACTATATAAGACATATTAAATAACTATGAGGCTCTGAAATATGATTAATATTTATATAAATGGAAGCACATCTTATTCTTGAATAGGAAGTTAATATAAAGCCATCAGTTCTATGCAGGTCAATTATTGATTTAGTAAAATAATTTTTTTTATTTGAACAAATTATACCAAGGGCAGCGTGAAAGAATCCAAATGCAAAAGCAGATAGGAAAATGTAGCAAAAACAAGGGCCTTTTGTATTGCTTGCTAGGAAAACATGATCTTTGGTACTCACAACATGTCAGACTTGTGTATACATAAGTAAAATAGAGGAAATTTCAGATTGGAAAGTATCTCCACTAAAGATAAGATTTGAAATTTTCAAGAAAAAGAGCATATGTTCACTTCATCTTGTTTGGACAACTGCTAAAGAATATTGACCAGTGAGGGATAGAGGATTTCTACTTCACTTCTTTTACCAAAATAGATAAATTGACTCTTTGTTTAGAGAAATACATAGAAATACTAGAATTTATACAAAAGTTTTTTGGTTTTGTTTTTTGTGATCTTGGCTTTGGGGGAAAGTTTTTTTTGTATAACTCAAAAACTAGAAATCATAAGGAAACTTGATTTTTTTTATCATTAGTTAAAAATAATTGGTAATAAAAAAGATAATTTGCCAAACAGTAAAAAAAAAAAGTTTGAGAATTAAATAACAAATTGGAGAAAAGCATTTGTATCATATTACAAAAGATGAGTTTCCCCAATTGATAAAGAGAAAAACATCTGAGGAGGATTAGAAACAGTTGGCCTTTTCAAAAGAAACATAAAATGGCTACTACAAAGAGATTTATCGTTAGTAGTAACCCAAAAATTGGAAATAAAATAAGAATGAATTCCCTTTTACCTGCCAGGTTGGCAAAGATTTTTTTAAGATGAACTGTACCCAATATTTATAACAAACAGTATAAGAAAACAGGTACACTGAAGTGCTGAAAGTATAAATTGCTGGTATTCTGGCAATATGTGTATACATATGTATGTGCCAAAGTCAAAATTTTGAATACACTTTGATCCAGAAATTCTACCTGTAAGTCTATAAACCAAGGAGATAGTGTAAAATGATGTATGTATAATAACTGACTTGTGAGCATTGTTTATAATAATGAAAAATGGGAATGAACCTGCATTTGTCCTCTATGTAATGAAGTACTGTGCTGTCATCCAAAAAGATAGTGTATATGAAACAATTTTTTACTAATGAAGCAAACCAGCTCACAAGAATGGGTAGAGTAAAATCCCATTCTAGAAAAATAACATATCCATATGTTCAAAGGAAAATTCTGTTTTAGATGTCAAAACAGCTTGACACCATCACGGTCTGTTTCCCACAGTCTTGCAGCTGGCTAACGACCCTGTGCCATTGATCTCTGCAGTTAATACTGATTTTGATGTTCATAGACAGTAGATAGAATACTCAGTGAAATGAACAACTTTTAAATATGCCTGTTGACAATGCCTTGTTCTTCTTTTACAGTCCTCCTCCCAGTCCATCAGGTACATTGACCATTACTTCTGGGCATGCTCAGTACCAATCTGTCCCAGTCTATGAGATGAAGTTTCCAGATCTGTGTGTGTATTGAGTGGCTCATGAAGATCTCGGCATAGGATTTTAAAGCCTCAACGTTAAGGCCAACCCGAGCTTTCAGGGCTTACTTAATTGTGTGCTCACATACTTCTTGAAGATAGTAATGGAACATATCTTTAACCAAATGCTTGGCATATCATATTAGAAGTTTTGGATCTATATGTAATTTAGAGTACTTTTGAAGATAGAGTCATGCCATGTCAATATGTTTTGAGGTTCCTATTGGCTTTTAAATTTGAACATGTACTGGTCTCACATTATTCCATTGTTAAATAATGTATTTTAAACTTTTCACAAACATGTAATTGTTTTTTGAAGTCTGTAGAGCCTAGAAAATGTATGAAGTGTCTACTGTATTTCTTAAACATCTACACAACTGCTTAGAAATAGAATTTCTTATTTTGTTTGTTTTCTACAAAAACAGACACATTCAAATATATTTCTAGTCCTGGGACTGTTCTGTGACTTTTTGTTCCTACGTCTTAGATAAGTTGTAATAGATGTCCCTCTCTTCATTCACTGTCATAAAATGTGATAGACATTTCTTATCTTTTTCATAGTAGTAAGATATCTCTTGAATAGCATTCCTAGAATATAACCCTAAAAATCACCTTTTTTAAAAAGTGTCTGATTCTTGTAATACCATGTTCCCTGCCAGGAGTTTGACCATTCTGCTTGAGAGATGTAGAGCTTACTCTTGGAGTACCGAACTGTGCAATATTTTTTACATCATAAGATGTATTAGTTTACAAGCTGTGCTTTGAAATTATAGTAGTATTTTGCTGTGGCTCTATTAATTAAATGAGATATATATTTAGTATAGAAAAAAACATTTAAAACAGCTACTAGTTCACCTGTGAGGAGTCTACATTTTTATTTTTATTAAGAGCACATTAATTTACGGTTTTATATTGTGCATTGTTTTAAATCTTCATAGTAAAATAATTCCTCAGATGAATTTTTAATTTGTAACATTTGAACTATGACTTGTAGGAGTCTCTGTTTAGGGTTAGTTATATTACATTTCATGAGTGCCTGTGTTTTAACATCAAGTGTGCTAAGTTTCGTCAATTTAAGCTGCTTTTGATTTTAGCTACCAAGATCACGGTTGCACTTTACACGTGCACTGGCAGACCCATACAATTATGTATATTTTAGTGAATTCCATCATATGGTAAAATGAACAACTGTCTTTGCAACTCATAAAATTCTCTTAGGACATTTTTATAAAATCACCTGTTTACAGTTCTACCTTTTCAGATTTAATTTCTTTTACATAAAACAATATACATGTCAAAAACTGTATTTCAAAAAACAATGCAGTTTTTGGCTTTTGGTTTTGTTTGAAGAATTGCAGTGAAGAATGGGTTGTTTTAACTTTATGTTTATGGTGACTTGGATACCTTTAGTAGAAACAGAAAAAAGTAAGGAAATGATAATAGAAAAAGCATACTTGAAAATTTTTGAATATTTAAACCAAAGTGTAACATGTTGAAAAAGAATCTAGTCATTGAAACCTGTGACATGACACGGCAACATCCTAGCTCTTTACTAAATGTAGATAAACAAGATGTTGTTTCAGAGTGACACTGGAGTCACCTGTGAAGGGCTAAATTGCCCCATTTCAGCTGTCACTGGAACTTTGCCTCTTGATTAGGTAAAACGCTTCACTAAGCCAAGTTTTGTTGTTTTTTTTTTAATTTCCCTTTCTGCCTTCTGTATTTTTAAAGAAGGATATTAATTTTTGACTGTACATTTAAAAAAATCTAAGCAGGAGGACATGCAAAAAACAATCATCATCCACTTGGGTGTCATTTTATAAATTAACACTGTGTGCTTTTGTATGGAAATATATATAGTTTAATAGTCTAAGAAGAGAAAATATATATTCATTTGCACTCATGTGAAACACAAACTTTGCTCTACAAAATTTCATGTTTCTGAGTGATTGAAAAATGCATGTGTCGCATGTATAGGAAAACCATTGCAATTAACGTTTACCACATCTTTTTTTGGTCTTTGTAAACTGTTGATTTGGGTTTTGTGGGGGTGTTGTTGTTGCTCTTAAGTCACAGTAGACTTCTGTATATCCTGACCCCTGAGCTGCGCCTGCTGACAAAGATGCCCAAGAAAGGGGTCTCCCTGGCTGGCCCTTCCTTGCCTGCAGGGGATTCTGCAGGCGCTCACTGTGCCTGCAGTACTGCTGCCAGTTCAGATATCAAAAGCCTAGGATTGGTTGAAGCTCACTATACTGATATTTTTGTAGGTATACAAAACTCTTAGTAGATTGTTAATTATTCTTTTAGCTGTGTGCCGTTGCTTATATCATTATTCTCTTGACATTGAACAATTAGCATTTATATGTTCCTCTGAACTTGTGTTTTCTGTGACTGCTTCTGTAGTCATGTTGTCGTTGGAGTTTTCCTGAGTACATATGCTCGCTCACACACACACATACTTCCTCAGTACTTCTGAACTCATTATCTTTTAGAGGAAAACTACTACACCTTACCAGCAATTAACTTCTCCCTCCCCAAAATGTCTCTCTTTCTCCTGTCTGCAAATGGAACTAATTTGTCTTATTCATGCTGATATATGTATTTAATGTAATGATATGATTTTTTTTGAAATGTAAAAATTCACTGTGCAATTCATATGTAAGCAATAAAACAAAAAATCAAACTTCTTGTGTATAAGTACATTTTTATAATGGCAGTGATTGCATTTATTTAATTAAATGTACTCAGTATTTGCTTTAGTTAAAAATGAAGAGCTTTAGTTACAATCAAGTTCCAAATGGATTCATTCCCAACAACTCTGAAGTGCCAGAAGGATAACTGCTGGTCACGACAAGATGGGGCTACGGTGAAGCTCGTGGTGTGTGCTCGTGCCAGCACAGCTGCCATCTCTGCCTCAGTCTCATTGCTTGCATTTTCAACCCTCCTCCTTGCTCTAGACATGGCATGAAGCATCTCTTTAAAAATATCTACTCTCAGTACCACGTTCCGCCCGACGTTTGCACATTCTGCCGCCCACATAGCTGCGAGTCCTGTGCAGTGGGCTGCTGGAGCCTCCTTCAGGAGGCAGCGTGGCATAGCAGTGAGGAGCTCGGACTCTGGTTCAGGTTCATCCCCACCTTTTGGCTGAGTGGCCGCAGGCAGGTGACTGACTTTGAGCCATAGAGTTCTCATCTGTAAAATGAAGATGACGTTCTGCCCCCTGAGGTTCACCGTGAGGAGTGGGTACACCATTTAGAAGAAGTTCATTGTGCCATGCCTGCGTGACACAGTTAGCATTTAATAAATGCATATTACTAGTAATCATCCTTGAGCTCACTCTCTGGACGTAAGGAACTTGGGCAGCTGTCTCAGCTCTGTAGTCTTAGGCCAGACCTTCCTCAGGTCTGAACCTGCTTCTGTAGGTATAGAATGAGCATTCTGGGCGATGTGCTATGATACATGTTTCAAATGCTTTCTTTCCAGCTCTAACTTGCTGTGGTCCTATTCTCTCATCTGATAAAATAGCGGTCTTGAGTTCCAAGTTCAAATGAATGAAAAAGCAGAGCCAAGGTAGAGCGTCAAACTGTGCCTCTTTGTTTTGCTATTTTCAGCCTTACACTTTGAGTCAGAGGCAGAATATTATTCGGAAGGTGCTGTTTTAGCCTAGGTTTCCCTAAAGCACAGCCTGAAGCAAGGCTGTTGGGCAGTTATTTCTTTGGAAAGTGATCTAACATGAACGGAGAAGAAGCAAGGGGATCCATTTTTAAAAATCATAATCATTTATTAGATTAGAAAATATAGTTTATTTAAAAAAGAAAATTGGAGAAAGAAAACATTCACCTCTCCCCAAGTAGGGAAGGGGCCCAAAGCCAGAAATTGTGGTGACAGCCATAGCTCAAAGAGAACATGGTCACACCAGAGTCTAGAAAGGCAATGGCTGCAATGGTGGTGTCAATGACCCATGTTTTAAAAATTAGCCATCACTGGGGATCCTTGGAGATCCATGCTACTGGATGTTCTGAGGAGTCTTGTGAAATAACCTCAGAACTGACCCCTCAGGGGATGAAAATAAGGAAATTATAAGGGATAAGGGTGGCCCTGTAGGCATTTATTTCCCCACATTTCGGGACTCTGTGTGCTTGAGCACCGAGCTGTTACCCAAGGCGTCCAGTGCCTCATTCTCAGAGAAGCCCTGAGTCAGAACACAGGAAGTACAGCAGTGTAGAACGCAGGCATTGTCCTTCCACCTAGGGTGGGGTAGGGGCTCTGTAGAACTAGTTATCACAGCAGGATCCTAGAGGGAGTTGGAGATTGGAGGATTTGACGTTGGGCGAAAGATGTCCCAGATGGCACCATCTAGTTTGGTATTTAAGAACAAGACCAGGAGCATCTGATAATTTCACATTTCCTCCGTCTTGCTCAGAGGTTTTGGCTGTAATACCTCCATTCTTTTTGCAGCCACTTTGCTTTCCTTGCCCTACTCTAACTGTGAAAAGGTGATAACATCTTTGCAGTTGTAGGATTTCTGATTCAAGAAACCAGAGAGGGGAAGAATCTCTTAGAGTCAGGTTGGATCAAAGCTTGTAATTTTTTCTTTCTGAGTTGTTTCATGTCAGATAATGGCCTTCAGTTTCATTCTTTCCGCAGAAGACATCATTTCAATCTCTTTTATAGCTGAATAATATTCCATTGTGTAAATATACCATATTTTCTTCATTCAGTCACCCGTTGGAGATTTGGAAGGAGTGAGAGGAGGATGATTGATGAGCAATTAATGGGTACAATGTATGTTATTCAAGAGCCCAGACTTCACCATTTAGAAAATTAGAAATCCCATGCCCCGAATGTAACAATAAAATATAAAAAGTAATGATCTCAAATATGGTAATTGTAAGTCATGTAAATGAGCAAAGAAATTGAAGTTAGGCATACTAAACATTCAGTTCATTCCATGCTACCCTTTTTTTTTCTAAGTGCAGCTTTTTTGAGATGTAATTCACATAGCATACAGTTCACCGTTTTCAAGTGTACAATTCAGTGTCTTTTAATATATTCACAAAGTTAAGCATCACTGCTATCTCATTCCCGAACACTTAAATTGCCCAAAAAGAAATCCCATACCCATTAGCAGTCACTCCTCATTTCCCCCAACCCCAGACTTTAGTTGACTTTCTGCCAGTAGAGATTTGCCTACTCTGGACATTGTCTACAAATGCAGTCATACAATGTGTGATCTTTTGTGTCTGGCTTCATTCTCTTAGCACAATGTTTCCAAGTTTCATCCATGTTGTACCATGTACCTAAACTTCATTACTTTTTATGGCCAAGTAATCCTCCATTGTGTGGAAATAACCACATTTGTCCTTTCATCAGTTAATGGGTTGTTTTCACTTTTGTTTTTGATGTAAGCAATCTGTGATAAATATTTGTGTACCTGTTTATGTATGGTCATGTGATTTTTTTTTCATGGGTGTAAACAAATTTTAAGTGTAGAAATGCTGGGTCATATGGTAGCTCTGTGTTTAACTTTTGGAGGAACTGTCAGACTTTTTTTCCAAAGTAATTGCACCATTTCCCACCAGTAGTGTATGAGGGTTCTGATTTTGCTATATCCTTGCCAACTTTGTTTTTGTCTTTTATTATAGTCAAGGGATAGATTTTTATACATAAGGGGTTTGGGGGAATGTTTGCATTCTGATTAGAATGATACAGACGAAGAAAGGGAGAAATCAATATAGAACAACGAGGAGATATTTGCAGGATTCAGACCCTGGGGAAAGCAAGAGGGCATTGCACCAGAGGGTGGAGGATTTGACCTTTGATAAGGAGAAGGGACACATTTCATTGCAACAAGAAGAAAGTGACAGACCACAGGTAATTGTATAGTTTTGATGGTGGGAAGATGAGGGGCATGCCCACTAAAATGCTTCAGTTTTCTTAGTCGAATATTAGGTGAGGTCATTGTGCTAAACGCTTCTCCATGAGACGCTTGCATTTCTGCATATCCTGTGAACTGAGACACTAATGCCTTTATTCTGAACTAGCTCTTCAAGGATGAAGTTTAGCAAACAGACCAGGAAAACAGAGACAGTGTCTCCCTTTGGAACTGAGGTCAGACCTACTTATTGTCCTGTATAACAAAGATAATGTGTCCTTCTGGGATAAAGGTCAAGCAGGCTTACCGCTGATTTTTTTTTATTTTTTATTTTTTTGAGTTGGAGTCTCACTCTGTCGCCCAGACTGGAGTGCAGTGGCTGCTCCCAGCCACCGCAGCCTTGACCTGCTAGGCTCCGGCGATCCTTCCGCCTCAGCCTTCTGAGTAGCCGGAATTACAGATGCACACTACCACGCCTGGCTAATTTTTTGATTTTATTGTAGAGATGAGGTCTCGAACCCGCGGGCTCAGGCAATCCACTCACCTCAGCCTCCCAAAGGCACGGGATTACAGGCTGAGCCACCGAGCCCGGCTGATTTTTTAAATATTAATAAACTATTTTTATTTCTTAATAATCTTGAAAGGTTTTATTTATTATATAAGCAAATATTAGGTTCCCACTAGTCCACCAAAAATAGGAAATAAAATCCTCTAGAAAAGAGTCATACGCTATATCTTCAAATTCTTTCTTTTTTCTTTTTTGAGTTGGAGTCTCACTCTGTCGCCCAGACTGGAGTGCAGTGGCTGCTCCCGGCCACCGCAGACTTGACCTGCTGGGGCTCCAGCGATCCTTCCAACTCAGCCTTCCAAGTAGCTGACAACAGGCGCGCGCTACCACCCGGCTAATTTTTTTTATTTATTGTAGAGATGAGGTCTCACCAAGTTGCCCAGGTGGGTCTTGAACCCGTGGGCTCAGGCAATCCACTCACCTCAGCCTCCGAAGGCGTGGGATTACAGGCTGAGCCACCAAGCCTGGCTTCAAATTCTTTCAATACTCTCTTAATACCATTACTGATGTCCAAAGTAGTAGTCGTCCGAGGACTTCTTTTATATATTTTTTTCAATAAATAAATCTGTCCTCACTCTTATGTAACTGTTCGGTTATAGGCTGTTAGTGGTGCATCCACTTCCCAGGTGGCTCTTTCTTTTAATGAAGAGACACAGGTATTGAGGATGTATGGGAGGAGTTGGGGGGAAAATCATGACGTGTCAGCATGGAAAAAAAGCAAGATTGTTGAGTTATTTTTATATGATATTTTCAAGATAATGTAGTCATTACTAAATGGTAAGTAAATATTTGGTTGCTGTGCAATTCTGAGAGAAACCGTGATTATTTTCAGTCCCCTCTGCCTGTGCTTAAGCTGCTCAAGGGTTCTTGCTCTTCCTCTGTCTCCTTGCCACCTGTCTTTCTAGGCTTAGTTCAGATGCTCCATCTCCTTAGAGTTAGGTACCTCTGGCTGGGATTCCTGGCTCTGCATTGGCATCACCTGCATGACTTTATTTCCTTGTCTGTACAGTAGGCCAAACAATACCCGCTTCATAGGCTCACTATGAGAATGAAAGGTGGTGACGCCCTTAAAGAAATGCCTGGGGAGTCCTTAAGTGCTCAGAAAATTGAGATTGCTGTTTTTTTAAATCTTTTTTTCTCTGAACAAGTGGAGTTGTTGCAACTTTTATGCAATATCTACAGCATCTTGAAGATACGTCTTCTGTAGCACTGATTACACTGTGCAAGTTTATTGATTTATACACACACAACATCATTAAGGGTAACTGATCTCAAACCAGGCAAAGTAGGGACCAAAGGGAGACCCAAACTGTACCTGTACGATGTCCACTTTTATACCTAATCCTGAATTGTACCCCACAGCCGATTGTAAAAGATCCAGGTCCTTGACATTCAGGGTCCTCTGTGTCATGAAAACCACTACCTGGGTAAACATCTTGTGGTCCTCTTTGCATTGCCTCAGGCTTGGTTATGGAAACATAAATGCTGACATTCAGGCTACATTGCTGTCAGTAATGAAGTTCTTTGTGTCTGACCACGGTGTCTCATATCTTTGCCAGCATCTGTGAAAATGCAGGCTAACTTGTCAAGGTATAAAACAGGTAGAACCGCAAAACCTTTAAAGTTCTAGACAGCCATCAACTGAGAGTGAGAAGGAGGCCTGGAAAGTTTGGGGAGAAAAGAGAAAGTACCAAACAGTTATACTGGACAGCAGAAAAGTCAGCTTATTAGGAAAAGGTTGAGCATCCATTTGAGGTTTTGTGGTCACGAGCTTGAAGTGAAATGGGTCAACTCGGTTGCATTTTCCCCTCCATCCACGTTCAATTGCCTCCCACGGGGATGTAGAGAAGGTGGCTGGTCACCCAGACTGTGGTCAGCCTTGCACAGTACCTGCTGTGGGGAGTAACACTTAAATTCTTAAGGTATTGCCAACTTCAGAATAGTTTCATGCTGTGAAAAAGTCAGCAAACACTGAATTCTTCGGAAGCTCTGCTTCCTGTCTATCTGAACAGACAGAAACTCAGTATCATCTCACTACAGGACACACATGATTTATGGAACTTGAGAACCAAAGATGTGAGTCAGTGAGTTTGTGTCTCCATCAAATATTAAGGGAGGTTCTGGTGGCATGTTGCCTTTGCCTGGTACATGGTCCAACCTCAATAATGACTGAGTGGGTGGATAGATGAATGGGTGGGATTTCAATTTTTTATAATCACCATCATATTAAACTGCCTGTGTCAGAGTGGACATTTGCATGCCCCGAATTTCTAGTCACTGAGATAAACCCTATTATTCTAGGGATCAAAATATTTATTCTTTCTCAAATTTTTATTTTAATAGCTTGAGGGGCACCAGTGGTTTTTGGTTACATGGATGCGTTGGGTAGTGGTGAAATCCGGGTTTTAGTGTACCCATCAACCCCACTTGTGCACTCTGCACCTGACGGAATTTTTCACCTCTCCCCACCTTCCCACCCTTCCCCTTCTGAGTCCCCAGTGTCCATTATACCATCCTCCATGCCTTTGCAGAACCATAGCTTAGTTCCCACTTCTAAGTGAGAACGTCAGGTAAACCCTATTTTTTTTAGATTAGAAAATATAGTTTATTTAAAATAAATTGGAGAGAGAGAGAGAGAAGATTCACCTCTCCAAGATGGGGGTGGGGGCCAAACTCAGGAAGCATGGTGACAATAGCTCAAAGAGCACATGGCCACACTAGAGTCTAGCAAGGCAGTGGCCGTAAACCCTATTTTTAAAATATCAAGTCTAGGACCCAGGACAGAGTGACCAGTGTTTCCTCATGGTGGTGGCTGTGGCACATGGCCACTCTCTTAGGGGGCCAGGTGTATTCTTAGGGCACGCACCCAAAGAGCTGTCATCTCAATCCTTGTCATGCATCATTGATGGGTCATTGATGACTCACATGTGATCGCAAAAGATGGATTAAATATACTCCTTTCATCTTTTGTTTGTTGTTGTTTTTTTTTTACAAAAGAAAAAATAACATTTAGTGATTGGAAAGTTGAGAAATTATTTCCTCTGTGTCTGTCATTTATAATTTACTCATGCGCCAGTATCTAAAACTAAAAAAAAAAAAAATTAAAGAAAACAAAGCACGTTGATTGGAACATTTATTGCACTTCCATGGTGCACTACGGGAGAAGTACTCATCGTCTGCCTTTTCCACACAGGTGACGATGATGTGAACAAGGGTCTCACGGCCTCTCTTCCCTGGAAGCCTCTGCTAAGGCTACAAGGCACAGAGAAGGTTGCGGGGCCACACAGGTAAAGTTGGAGCAGGAGCCCAACGACCGGGTATACTTGCTGTTTTCTCTGGGAATCTATCTTCCATGGAGGGGCCTGGTCCCCCAGGGATCCGGTGACTTCCGCAAAAATCTCCTGACTCTTCTGAAGCCCTCCAGGCGGGTTGGGACCTCCTCGCTGTCCTCTTCTGAGCTGGAGCCCGGGGTAGAGGCTGAGGGTCGGCCACCTGGGTTGTCCTCACATCCAGCCGCCTGCCCCAGGCACTCTGGTGGGCCTGAGGACTTGAGACTTTGGTTAAAAGAGGCAGAGGCCATGCACTCGGCCGCCGTCTGGTCACAAGCACAGACCAGCTTCTCACACAGGCTCTGTCCCCCACCTGAGGAGGGAGGGCAAAGTAGCAGGTGTGAGACCTCGGGTGATGGCACAGAAGAACCCCGTGAACTTGGCCTCCCCTCCACCCTTCTCCTTCCTCCCCATCTTGTGGCCCCTCCGGGCATCCGCCATATACTCTGCTGGAGATACTCCCATTTTCTCCTGCCGGGAGTGATCCTTCCACTGGAAATGCTCCTCTCTTTCTCCTCCTGGCTGACTCTTACTCGTCTGTTCAGACTAGCTTGGCCCTCCCTCCTCTAGAAAGCTTCCCTGAACCCCCAGGCTAAATGAAGCACCTTTCCTGTGACCTCCCATCAAATCTCACCCTGTGGTTCTTTCTGTCACCTTAGGTTATGTGTTAATCACCTTGTGTGGTCATTGTCTGTTCGTTTCCACCTTTTACTCTTGCTGGACACAGAGCCTTGATGGTAGAACCCACTTGGCCAAGTACCTAACTCAGTCCTGGACAAGAATTTCCCAGGTTAGCACTGAGGAGATACTTGTGCGTGTTGGATGGGACTGTTTCTTTCTCCTTCCCTCCAGTGATTCCTCATTTGTCAAATGGAAATTATTGCCCACTCTATTTTAATATTGACAGATAAAATACAGAATGATCAGTTAAATTTGACTTTCAGATATGTCTGAAAGCACGTTCATTTAGCATACTTATACTAAAAAAAAAAATTCATTATCTGTAGTTCAAATCTAGGCACCATGTATTTTTATTTGACAGACCTGGCAGGCCTACCGTATGTTTGAATGTATAAGTTGCATGCAGTGGGGATGGTGTGGCCCAAATGAAATAATATACTGCGTTTGAAGGTGCTAGACACAGATAAGCTCTCTGTAAATATTATCCTTGTTATCTGTAGTTTTCAGGGAAACCAATGGTCTGTTTGGGTTTCTTTTTTATTATTAATCTAAGCTTACTTTGAAATGTTCATCACCCAGGTTTTTTTCTCACCGTATATCACACAGACCCTCCAAGCTTCCTAAACTGGCTTCCTATCATTCTCAGCTCTGCTGGTTGCATTTCAGCAGCAGGAAGAGGTGTTTGTGTGTTGGGAGCCAGCCATGGAGGCCCACTGAGCGTTAGGGATCAGGAAGGCCACTAGGATGACCCCGAGACCACTAGGATGCATTCGGGAGCTATTGACCCCATTTCCTCCCCCTTTCTACTCAGCACTAACCAGATTAAGCTCCTGTGAACTCAAAACATAAAAACTCTGAGACTGGGACGAACACAAGCTAACTTTAGAAGCTCATTGCTCCCATTCTTCCACAAACTGCAGTTTTGGCTTTCACACAACTTATAATTCAAACTCGGGTCACATCTAAGAGCCTTAGTATTGGTCACAGGCTTCTGGGTCATGATCTTAGGATTTATTGAAGTTGAATAAATGGATTAAGGTTTCATCGATTAGGTTATGGGATTATACCTGAAAGAACATTCGGTGGGTGGGGAATGCCCCTCACACACCCGACTGTGTATAAAAGACCAGTTGTAATTCCCATTAAATGGCTTCTGCACTAGACTGGGGTCCAGTCTCTTTCTTTCTTTCTCTCTCTCCCTCTCTTTCTCTTTCTCTCTTTCTTCTTCCCCTCAATCGCTGATGCCATCTCTACCTTTGGGATACCCTGAACCTGGCTGGAGCTGGTCTCTGGCATTTGTGAGGGGGTACTCAAAGGTGTGGGAGCCCAGTGGAAACATCCAGAGGCCTGTTCCCCAGAGTAGCTGTCCTTCCCCACTGCGCTTGTGATCAGCATAGCTCAAGCCAGGCTCTGAGATGACTTCCCATCAACCCACCCCGGCACCTGGAACGGGATACTGTGCTCATAGCTCACAGAGAGTGGGAACGGTTCACTAAAGCTCCGCAGGAGTTCAGGCTACAAATGCAATATTCTTAGGTTCCGTGACATCGGGAGAATGGAAGCAGAGTGCCAGCCAAGCAGGTGACTGTATCCTATGACAACCCGAGTACTCTGCCCTGCCACTCATGGGCTCTCAACCCTCCCCTGAGGACAAAATGGAAACGCTTCAGTCTTGCACTCAGGTCCTCTGGGTTTGTGATCTGGTGTTCGTCTTTCTCTTACCAACCACACCCTGCACCTCAACCGGCCCCCTCACTCCCACTTTCTGTCCGAGCAATCCAGAACCCCACGTTCTTCCTGAATCATGAGACATTCCCCCAAACACCATCATTTTCCACTTTCCCTTTATTCGGAACATCCATGCCCAGCATGGCCATCTGGGAACCTGTTCACCTCTTGGCAAACCTCACCCCACGCCTCTTCTGGCTTCTCCCGAATGACCTCATGTCCCCAGCACCACACCACAGAATCAAAGCCCCTCTACCCATTTTTCCAAGGCACCTGTACTTCCAGTCAGCACATACTGCATGAGACCCAAATCATTTCTTGCCTGACCCTCTTCCCTGTGGCTGTGAGAAATTGGAGGCAAGGATCATGTGGGTTCATTGTTTTCCTGGTTCCTGATGAAGGTTTTGTTGGAACAATGGGTAACTGAATGAATGATTGAGTGAGTAATTGAGTGAATGAGTGACATGGAACCACAAGCTCTTGGGATACGACAGCCATGACCAATCGCACAAGGCGAGGTGCTACAGAGGGCCCATGCACTGTGCTGAGGCGGTGCAGGGGAAGAAGGGGTGGGGGTCCAGCCAGTGGGCTCCCCCAGACAAAAACGAGGAGGACAAGTGCAGGCAGGGCCCTTGTAAAACTCCAGGGGAAGCATTTCCTTTCAAACCGTAAAGCATCCGGGAACGGCATCCACTGCCGTGGATGACAAAAATGCCAGAGAATGCAGGTGACTAGTGAAGTTCATGACAGTTTTCAGACTAGTCCCTCCTCGAGGCACTGAAGGGCCACAGAGGAGGCCTGGTTTCCTCTCCAGGAAGGTGTAGACCTGCAATCCCACCTCCTGCATGGCCAGAGCCTCTCCCATTTTCTGTGAGATTCCTCAAAAGATCTCACTTGAGAAGAGGTTTCTGCTTCTTAGGAAGAGAAAAAATATTTGGAGTCTCCCTGGTACAGTGAAGAGTCCGCTCCCAGTTCTACCGCTTGTCTCCACCTTGATCTTGGGCCTCCGTTATCGCCTCTGTCAAGTGGGAAGAATAATATGCCGTCTCCTGAAACTGTAGTGAGATGAACTCTTAATGCACATCAAGGACTGCGAACGGCACACAGCATGTGCTCGATGCACTTGGGCTATTTCTATGATCCCAGCCTGCTCTTGACCAGCTCTGTGACTTTAGGCAGTGAGGCTCTTGACCTCGAATCTCCTCCACAGTGGAAGAGAATTGAGAATATGTACCTTATGGTTAAGAAGAGTATGAACTGGCTTTACAGATGAAGAGGCACCATGGAAAGCCGCTCTAAGCCTGAGCTATGGCCGTGATGCAGCCCCATGTGAGATAACACCTCGCTGTGTAGGCCAACGACACTTACACTTGGGCGTATGATCCACACACACCACCGCTGACCGAGGGAGCCTCTCAGGCAGGCAGCCCAGCCTTCGCACCTGCTCCAGGCAACAGTGATGGGACAAACAGCACCTACGACCAAGGAAAACCCTTTACTGTCCAGCGCTCCCAGCTGTCCCAGGATCTCCCTCAAGGCCTGCTTCTTCCACACTGTCTACAGAAGTGAGAGAAGCCAGTGCCTCCTGTCAGGTGCACACAGGGCCGACTCATACACACGCCAAGGGCCATCTTGTATGGTTGTTCGCGTTACGTACTGCACAGAGATGCCACACCTAAGGCAGCACTGATCATACTGTGTTCATCTTATTATTTTAAAATTTTGTTTTTGTATTTTTATTACAACTTGATGGCAAAAGGGGGTGGGTTGATGTTATATATAAATAAATAAATCTATGAATGAATGCATGAGGTCTGCGAAAATCCTTCCAAGAGTGGTGGGTATACAATTTAGCGGTTATGCTTAAAAGCTGTTGAGAAGCTAATTTTATTTATTTTTGACTTGGGAGTCTCACTCCATTGCCCAGACTGGAGTGCAGTGGCATGCTCACGGCCAACCCAGCATCGACCTGCTGGGATCCGGTGATCCTTCTGCCTCAGATTCCAAGTAGCCGGAACTATAGGCGCGTCCTACCATGCCTAGCTGATTTTTTATTTATTGTAGAGATGAGGTCTCACCAAGTTGCCTAGGCTGGCCTCGAGCCCACAGATTCAGGCAATCCACTTGCCTTGGCCTCCCAAAGGGAGGAGTACAGGCTGAGCCATCGAGGGATTACAGGCTGAGCCATCGAGTCCGGCAGAGAAGCTAATTTTAATGTGGTCTTCTGCAGGACAGACCAAGTAGAGACCCTAATTCTACAGACTGGCCATTGCAAAATAGACAGGTGTGGGTCCATCTGAAGAATCTTTGCAGATCAGTTCTCCTAGGGCAGCTGGACAGTACTTGTGGAAGTGGGGGGAGGGATCCAGACCCCCCAACTCAAAAAATCAGGATCTGTCTGACTCTGTCTTTCCCTAGATGAAAGACCTTAGACAAGTCAGCTGCTTATCAGGAAAATGGGTCTATAATGTCAAAGATCCACCCTGAGAGAGACGCTGTATGCACCAAGCTCTTAGCGAAGACTAAAGTGCCATCTGATGTCCAGAAGGGTTACTTCCTCTCGCTGATGCATCAGCCCTTGCCTGCCACCCCCACCCATCCATACCTGTCCAGGGCATCCCTTGGCTCGCCTCTTCCTTCCTGTCCACAGTAACAGCCATAAGATTCAAATTCCTCCGGACACCGGGATGCCAGACAAAAGAGCATCTCTCCAAGCTGCGGCAACACCTTCATGTCGCCCCCTCTTCCCAAGTGCAGGAAAGTGAATCTGTCACAGGCTAATAGAACAGGGACTCTCAGGGGGGCAAAGAATGTCAGGGAGGCCTTCACAAGAGGAAGTCTTCACAAGCACAAGCTTCCGGGTTGAATGGGGACAACTCGGTCATACCAAGAAACCCTATGCCCCACACCTGGGATCGCCCTTCCGAGAAAGCTGTGTTGTTCTCATCCCCATCTGGGAAGCCTTGTCTTTCAGAGAGCAAGTCTTTTCTTGCCAGGCTGCTAATGCTTTACCAGACTCCTTGTTACATCCTAGGGGATGGGGACTTGTCAGGATCAGATTCTCTTTGGGCTACCTTCTACTTCTGAGGGGAGTCCAGCATACTGACCGGGGCCAGCTACCCTCTTGGGTTTTCTGGCCACATTAGAAGAGCACACCTGACCGGGCTTCTGGTCTTTCAGAGTCCTTGAGTTCCATTCTCTCCTCTGTCTGTCTGTCTCTCCCTCTCTTTTTCCCTCCCTCTCTCTGTGTCTCTGTCTCTGTCTCTCTGTCCTTCTTCACTTCCTTCTCTGCCTGCAACTCTCAAATGCAGCTTCTCCATAGCTCTGCATTGGACATTATGAAAGGCATACTCAGATACTAACAAATTTCTCCTCTGTGTCCAGTTGGCTGTGGCTCCTTGCAGGTGCAGGGCCTTTGGAAGACATCAGAGGGAGGAGAGACAAAAGGGAAGATTATTAAAACCCAAGTGCTTCATTCTTTCCAGTAAACCATGGTATGGACGATGCCAAGCTCTTTTCCTCTAAGCCAGTAAGAGTAGTGAGAACACGAAGTCGGGAACTCAGAAGACCCTGGTTCCTCTCCCAGGTTCAGCCTTCCTGAAGCTGAGTGGCTATAGGTAGCTCACATTCCCTCTGAGCCTCAGTGTGCTCATCCAGTAAAGGGAATGATGCTTTGAGCCATGCATACATGAGAAGGTTGCAGTGTGAAAAGTTGTCCTGAAGTGTTCTGTTTCCACCCTAACCAAAGGATCCCAAGGGCAGAGGGGCACACTCCTCTGGATCCCTGCTTCTGCCTACCTTTCCTTGTTGTCTTCTCAGGACCACTTCCAACAGATGATGCCACCAACTCCAAAGATTGAATGCCAGCAGGGACGAGGGTTACACCTTTCGCAGTGTCAACAATCTCCGCAGATTCTGAAAGTACAAAACTTCATGGTTCCAGTTCAAAAAGGTGGCTCAAGGAGAGATTTACAGATAAACAAGTGGTCAAGGCCAAAGGCATATGGTTACCTCAGAACACCAAAACATTAAGAGAGTGTCCCTCAAGCTGGATTTGCAGACGTCAAGGCAGATTCTCAGGGATCCATACATTCTAAACGAGCATTTCGAGATTTTCTTTGATAACCTCAGCACAGCCAGAAGCCTGTACTAGATTACCTGGATGGCATGAGTTTGTGTCGTGTTTACCATCACACACCTGCCCCATGTCCATCCATCATGGCGCTCACAGAAAGTGAAGAAGTAAGGAGAATGTGGAAAAAGTAAGCCAACACATGGCACACAACAAGGCAGATGAGTGAAACTTCTTGAGCCTATATCCTTGCTCAAATGCTGTAACAGCTTCTTGGAATTAAGTGCAAGGTGCTTCCTGTAGCCTACAGGGCTTGCCCATGACCTGATCCTGCCTCCAAGGCCATCTCATCTCTTACCATCTCCCTGGCATGCTCTCTGGATCTCTCTTTGCTCTTGTGTCTGTCCCACCTGTCCTCCCAGCTGGAGGCAGTGAAGTGTCCAACCCACAGGCCAAATTTCCAGCCCATTCTGGTCCAGGGAAAGGGAACACCTCCAGGCTCAACCCCTACCCTTCTGCTGACCCAGATTCAGTTCCCAGAGCGTTGATTGTTCCTACTGAATTGCAGTCTTTCTCCAAATCTGCCATATTGGTTTGCTTCATGTGTCTGGTCTTCTACCTGCTGTTGCTCCAGTTCCTATGAGACTAAAGCCCTTTTATAATTTCAGAATTCTGCCCAGTTCTCCAATCCCATGAATAGAAACCAGTTCATCAGTTTCTTTCCATCACATTCACAACTGCTGGAAACTCACCAAGTCAGTGTAGTAAAGCAGAAAGAGTTAATGCGTTGGTGTTAAAGAGAAGTGAGTTTGAATTTCAGCCCAGCCACATATTAGATGCATAAATTTGAACAAACCACTTCACCTCTCTCAGTCTTAATTTCTCCCTTTGTAAAATTATATTGATTATACTTCTTTTGGTGTTTGACTCATCCTTCGAGCTAAATGCCTAACAATTAAGATACAGTCAATAGTAGCCATTAGAACTGCCCAGTGGATGGGAAAATATCCACATGTCTGATCTAGGGTAAGAATTTCCAGGTGGAAAGTTCTATAAGCAGAAGGGGCTTGCAGAGCCCAGTATCTGCTTCTTGCTGAGTCTCCTGCCTGTAGCCCTTATTTCCCAAGAAAGAATTTTCTGGATTATTGGTGCTAATCAAATCTGAAATTCTCTCACTCCTTTAAGATGAGGGCTTTTGGTGCTCATCACCCTGCCAGGACCAGTTGCTCTCTTGCCCCTCTCATCGCCACCATTGAGGTCACAGTGCATCTCAGAGCACAGACAGTCCAAGTCTCAATAGACTATAGCTCTGACCTTGATTGTACACTTTTGTGAATTTGGTTAAGATTTGAGAATTCTGTTTAGGTTTGGCCAAAAGGCCCTGGAGTGAGGTACCAGCCCCATCCAGGTAATAAAAGCACCACTTTCTATTTTCATCAGAGGGAAGAAGAGAAAATAAATGAGGTGTCTTTCTTTTCCTGCTAAAATGGGTAGAGGTATTTTATTTGCTTGTTTTAAAATAAGAATGCCCAGTACTGACTACTAGAATACCTGTATGAGTGTAAATTGGTTCAATTTTTCTCAAGGGCAATTTAGTAATATATCAAGAGTCCTAAAAGGATTATACTCCTTATCCATTAATTAATCAGAAGTAGATGTGTATAAAGTCCATATCTATTATTTATAATAACATGTTAGAAATAATTGCTTACATGAATTAGATTTTCATACAAAAAATTATTATGCAGCCACTAAAAATCATGCTCCAGAACTCAGACTGCAAAACAATGACTAGCAAGTGATCTCAAATTCATTTTATGATCACGGATATGATTGACAGGAAGAAGCTAGAAGGAAATACATGCAAGTATTAAAGTGGCTATCTTTATACTGTGTAATTGCACGTGATTTAAATGGAAAACTAAATCTATTTTTCTGTATGTTTTAAATGCATGTCTTTATTGGGTAAGTTTCCATTTCTTCCTGCTAATGGATCTACCTTTTCATTTCATTTGGGTACTTTGATGTTTGGAGGGGGAATGTGAAAGTAATTGGCGTCCATGCTTTCTTCCACTTTGGGTTTGGTCCAAAGGCTCGTTCAGAGCCCACCTTATTTCATCAATGTACTGGGGCAATGATATAAAAATAGGCAGGAAGAACAGAGTGTGCTTACCAGGAGGGGACGTAGCCCTAGAAGCTTCTGTGCCTTCCTGATCTTGGCCTGGTTCTATTCCCAAAAGAAGAGAGACAGGATCAGCATCAATCCCAGCTGGTCCCACCTGTGTTTCCAGAGACACCTCCCATCCCACTGGGTACAGAAGTCCATGTGCTTTTCACTGTGTCCCAGTCACCTCCCATCAAGAGATTTCCTAGGAGAGCTGGTGATGTCAGTGTCACTGCTGAGCCAAAGGGAATCTCCCAGACACAAGCTTGCTGGCAAACACAGGCCAGAAGCAGATGTGTTTGTTGAAATACTTTGGGAATGACAGCTTCTCTAGAATTTGGAGAAAAGGAAAACTAAAAGAAAACCATATGTTGGAACCAAGGAGCGTGAAGTTCAGAAGAGGCAGAATTGTGTGGTTAAAGTTGTTTGATAGGTGACTCTGGGAATACTGCTGAGCCTCAGTTTCTCTGTAAAACAGGTTTGTTGTTATTGTTATTTAACAGTTATTAAGCTCCTACTGCATGCCAGATATGACAACAAGGGCTTTCTTGTAGTCACTCACTTAGTAACAACTCCAAGAATTAGTACTATGCTCACCCTCAGTCTGAGATGAGAAAAGTGACACAGAAAAGTTACATCACTAATCCAAGGTCACAGAGTTGGAAGTGGCTGGATGCAAATCCAGGCAGCCTGGCTAAGGCTGACTGTCTTATCTACTAGTAAGATTGCTATTTCACTTCTGGCTATATCCCAAAGAGCTGGAGATGAAGACTGAAAATATTTTTTTGGAAAGAAAGAAACCTCCTTAAGTTCAGTGTGCTCAAAGATCAAGACTGCAAGGGTGTTATATAAAAAATCAGGCTTTGAACTTTACTGATGTGGACACAAATGCTCCATCAAAGAGAGAGCATCTGGACCACTCTAAACAGGGGCAGATTGTTCTCTTTGAAAGCAGAACCTATAGATTCAGAACCAGAGGATTGCTAACCTGAGCTACCTGGGCAAATGACTTTAACCCTCAGAACTTCTTTTTCATCTGTAAAATGGGGATAATAATGGACCTCCTAGGGCCAGGAAGAATGAACTCCAAGAATGTGTGTATGGGGCTTAATAACACGCTGGCACATTGGAGGCCCTCAACAATGTCCCTGCCTGTTAACTATTACGTTTTCATTCTTAGTAATTATTAGATAATTATCTGTTATTCATATGTATTAATAAAGTGTCCATGGTTATTAATTGCCATGAGCAAAGTAAATGGTTAGGTTATTCTGTTGATAACATTTTAACCTAGATATTTCTGGATGGAATGGTTTCCTCCATGAGTCACTGTGGTATAATGGAAAGAAAACAGTATTATAGCCTGAAGTCTGAGCTTCAAGATCAGCCCAACAAGTTACTTGGTGAGTGAATTAGAACTTTCATTCTCCCTGAGTGGTGGTTCTCTAAGTATTCTCTAAAATGGGTGTAATGATATTTCCTCCCAGTCCTGTCAAGAAGCAGTTAGCAGAACTGAATACAAATATTTAGATGGCATTTTCCCACTGAATTCCATACTCTTCTCTTCCAAAGTCCCCTCTGCTTACCTGTCCTTGAGAAGGTGGTCAGGCTTTCAGTGCCAGTCTCAGAAGCCACTGTGAAGAGAAACCTCCTTAAGTTCAATGTGCTCAATGATCAAGACTGCAAGGGTGTTATATAAAAAAATACCTTCAATATTGACCCTGCTGGGCACCCAAGCCAAGCCAAGGAAACAGGTTTGGGAACTGAGGACCAAGGAGAGCAGGTCCAGGGCACCCTGCTCAGGGAACATGGCTGCACAGTGGTGCTCAACAAGGTGCCAATTCAGTAAAGGAGCCAGACTGGGGCCAGGCCTGTGTTTAGACACAAAGAGCATCAAACGCCATCTTTGGGAGTGAAGGGTCATCATTTTCCCTGTTTGTGGGAAGACAGTATAAGTGGCAGTTTGTTCTAAGCAAGAACGGAAGCCTCAGAGACCTCCATTCCCTGCTCCGATACTCATTTCTATCTCTTGGGCTTCTTATCTCTGAATCTCAATTGACTATCTTAAAATGGAAGTTATAGCAATTATTTTATAGGGTTGTATGAGCATTAAATGAGAGTATATTTTAAGGAAGTTGTCCAGTATCCAGCTTGATTTATTGGTGTGTGCTGTTTTTATAGCCACACCAGAATTCCTGGAAGAAAAATGCTGGTTTAAAATCTCTCCATGCTCACTCTCATTTAATCCTTAAGCCACCCTAAAAGATAGGGATACTCAACCCTTTGCAGAGGCTAGTAAACTATGCTCTGGCCCTTGGCCTGTTTTTGTAAAGAAAGTTTTATTGGAACGCAGCCATGCTCATTTATTTACAGATTGCCTATGGCTGCTCTTGTGCTATGATAGCAGAGTTGCATAGTTGCCATAAAGATTCTACGACTCATAAAGCCATTAGATATTTGCTATCTGGCTCTTTCCAGAAAAAGTTTGCCAGTCTCTGCTTGATACAGATGAAGAAATGGAAGCGTAGAGAGGTTAAGCCACTATTTCAATGTCACAGAACTGAAAAATGGGAGAGCCAAGCTTCGATCCCAAATCTGCCTGACTCCAATGCCTAATTGTTTCATTGCATGACAGTGGGGACAGTTACAAGCTCTGTGTCCTTTTCCTATAAACTCTCCAAACTACATTTGTGTATTTGATAATTTGACCCCATAGTCAGGCAGCCCTTGTCTCTGAAGGGCACAGGTGGGCACTGCCTGGGTCATGAGTGTGTGTGGGTGTGTTGGGCGGAGGGTATGTGCATCCCTTCCCTTTCTCCAGTTAGAATTTAAACTACAATTATCATAATACTGTAAGAAAAGGATTGGCAGTAGGGAGGAACAACTGGGAGGGGGGCGGGGAAGCAGGATTGGCAGTAGTGGGAATCTACCTGGGAAAGGGGGGGCACACCTCATCAACAAGGGTACCCGCATAATGAACATTTGTATACTTAACCCTGAATTGTACCCCACATCTGTGGGCTCTGCAGGAACCATTGGAAAAAGAAAGCCCCTGTGGCAGTGACTGACTCAACACAGTGTCAACATCAAGCACTAGGTCTCAAAGAACAGGCAGGGGATGGCTGGGCCAAGGGAGGAAGGGGGCTGGCAAATGTATGGCCAGGAAGAGCTATCCATCCTGGCTTAGAAGTCCCATGCCCCTGTTACTCCTCCCAGAACATGGGGTGCCCAGCAGGATCCCAGCTCAGGAGGCAGCCCAGCCATAGGAGGCAGTGAGCACTATCCATCGCAGGCAAAAGGCAATGAAAGAGCTGCAAACCCCAAAGGCATGCCAGCTTGAGAAGACCTCTGTTCCAAAGGGAAGCAGGGAGACTGAGAATAAAAACATTGGACTCAGAAGATGCATAGAGATGAAACACACACACACTCACGCACACACACACACTCATCCCTACACACACATACACCCAAACATACTCATGCACCCACACATATTCACTCATACACACAACACACAAACATATTCTTGCACACACACATCCAAACACTCATGCACACATACCCAAACATACTTTGCTCCCAGTACACACATACTCACACACAAAACACACAAATATACTCATGCGCACATACATACGTTCATGCACACACCCAAACACACTCATACACACACATACACTCATGTAGACAACACACAAACATATTCTTGCACACACACATCCAAACACTCATGCACACATACCCAAACATACTCATGCACCCAGTACACACATAGTTACACACAAAACACACAAGTGTACTCATGCGCACACACATACGTTCATGCACACACCCAAACACACTCATACATACACATACACTCATGCACACACACATATTCACTCATGCAGACAACATGCAAACATATTCTTGCACACACACATCCAAACACTCATTCACACATACCCAAACATACTCATGCACCCAGCACACACACACACACACAACACACAAATATACTCATGCATACACACATACGTTCATACACATACCCAAACACACTCATATACACACATATACTCATACACACACACCTATAAACACACAACACACAAGCATGCTCATGCACACACACATACAGTCATACACACATACCCAAACACACTCATCCACACACACATACACTCAAGTATACACACACATATACACTCACACAAAACACATAAACATATTCATGTGCACATACATACAGTCATGCACACACACACCCAAACATACTCATGTGCATACACATATATACTCTCATGAACACAAATGCTCAAACATACTCAGGCACACACACACTCATGCACACAACACACAGACATACTCATACACATACACACCCATAGTCACGCACACACACATATACACTCATGCACACATGCACATCCAAACGCATTCATCCACACACACATACACTCATGCACACATACACTAACACACACAACACACAAACATATTCACACACACACACACATGCAAACACTCGTGCACACACATGCCCAAATATACTCATGCACACACACTTATACACTCATGCACACTCACACACACCAGCTTCCTCCTTAACAAACACTGCACGACTAGTCCTGGGAGTGAGACCCCAGCCCCAGGAGAGGAGGGATGCTCCACCAAGGCGTCCCTTGGACTTCCTTCCCCTCCCCAGTTGCCCAGAGGTGTTGGGACTGAGATATCATGGAAACTCTGTTGAACAGGGAATGGCAGACATAAACCGACTCCCATATTTTTGACTAGATCTGCATTTTAGAGTAAGAATCATCTCTTGCTTGGTTCAGAGGACAGTTATTAAGAGGCCACTCTGTCCTGAAAAGAGACACACGAGAAACAGCCTCCCCTCCAAGAGTCTCCATCTGGACCCAGGTTGCCCATGTTGCTGCAGGTTCTGGGGAGTGTGTGAAGGGAGGGCTGGAGGGAGAGGAGGGAGAAGAATGGGCAGGGGGTCTGCTCCGGGGGGGCTGTGGTGTCCAGGAGCTCATCCAGTCAGGAGGGGCCTTGCTTGGGCTAAGCACTGGGTCCTGTCCCGGTCACACTGCTTACCAGGGCTCCGACCACAGAGTGAGAAAGAAGAGAGAATATACTAGTCTGTCCCACGCAGCAGGGGACTGAGTTTTCCCTAGGGCCATTTGATGTTGGGTGTTTGAATTGGGTATCTCAAAGCAATTGCATCTCCAGGTCAGGGAATATGGGCCAAGTCCAGTGCCATGGTCCCTCCAGCTCCTGTGACGGAGAATCAGTGGAGGAGGTGAATCTACTAGTTCCCAAAACCAACTGAGGCCCAGGGTCTGAGTAAGAACCCATGTCCCCTGGAGGTCTTACCTCTGGACACAAGTGTCGTCAGCCCTTTCCTGCTGGTTGTCTCTAAAAAGAAAACACATTGGAAAGTCTGTTGAGAGCAGTAGGTTTAAGGGAATGGTCAAGGTGCTGGACTTGGCATCTGAAGATGTGTAGCAACGCATGGTCCCACACCAGTTGCTGCCCAGATCATCAACCCTGTGGCTGATGCCAGCTTGGTTCTTCCTACCTGGAGTCTGAGCCAGGCAGAAGGAAGTGTCCAGGAGGTTCAGGGAAGAGTTGGTGCCAGACTGAGCCAGGCACTCTATGGCAGCCTTGTCGCAGGAACACAGCAGGTGCTCACAAGGGTCCTTGGACTCTGCACAGGGCAAGGACAGAGCAGGTTGCAAAGATCTCATGAGAGTCTAAGACCGAGCTCCCGATCTCCCCACTCCAAACCTATGCCTCCTGCCATCTTATCTATCCACATCGGCTCCATCTCTTCAGGTGTGTAGACCCAAACTGGGCCGTCTCAACACTTTTCCTCTCAAACTCAGGCCCACCCCATCAAGCGATCCTGTTGGCTCTGCTTTCAACAGAGCCTGACAACGTCTCTGCATCTCACTCTCCCACCCTGGGCCGAGCCCCATCATCTCTTGCCTGGTGATGGCAGTGGCCTCCTAACTAGTCTCCCTGCTTCCCTGCTGCCCAGAGTATTCTCACTAAGCAGTCAGAACAATCCTTTTGAAACTCAGGTCAAACCATGTCTTTCTGTTCAGAACCCTCCAATGACGTTTCGCCTCAAAGCAAAATTTCACTGTAGCCTAGGAAATGTCACGACGGGCCCCTCCGCCCACTGACCTTGTTCTTTCCCAGATCTCATGCTCCTCCACTGTCCCCACCACCCCATTTCTGTCTCACTACCCCCCCCCACTCGCTTGGTTCTCAAACACACGGTGCCTCCAACCTCAGGGCCCACCCATGTGCCGTGTCTTCTGTCTGTTCTGCTCGTCTCCCAGATGTTCACAAGGACCGCTTTCTGACTCCTCTGCACGTCTCTGCTCTACTGGCTTCATCTCAGGGAGTCTTTTCTTGTCCCTCCTATTTAAGTGGGACCCCCTGACGCTCCTTATACCTTTCTCCTGATTTAATTTTCCCCACAGCTCTTGTCCCTGTCTAACACACTATATCCTTTATGTTGGATGTTTTCAGTGTCTGACAATCGTGAGGACATTCTGGAAGGTCAAGCTCTCCCCAACACTGACATGACTGTCTTGCGTATGGAGGTGTACAGTATGCATCTGTTGATGGAATGAATTAATCAAGTTTTCCAGGTTCTCTTTACATCTCACCTTGAGATCTTCACACCCACTGCATCCCCTCAACCCTTCCCCGATGCTCCCTGTTCCAGCCAGTCCATGTGATCTGGACTTGAGAGGTAGTCAGACCTCAGTTCAAATCCTGGCTCTGCCTCTTTGTAGCTGTGAGACTTCAGGAAAGTTGTTTAACTTCTCTAAGCTTTTCTTTTCTTATTTGACAACTATGGATAATGTTCCCCATCTAAAAGGGTCATTAGGAAGATCAGGATTGCTGTATATAGAGCCCATGGCATGTAGTAGGTTGACTCTAATATCATACCCTACATGTTATGTTCCCTCTTCCCTCCAAGCCTTTGCCCAGTCTACTTTTTCTGCTCAGAAACATGAAATAAAATTCCCAGCATCACACAGCAAATGAGGTGGGAAGCTGAGATTTGAACCTATGCATTTCTGATTCTTCCAAACAACCACTACCGCAAGCCTTCTCTGCTCATCACTACTCTATCTCCATGCCCATCTCTGAGTTCTTTTTTTTTTTTTTTTTTTTTTTTTTAGTTTTTGTGATTTATTGTAGAGATGAGGTCTCACCAATGAGTTCTTAACATATGCCGGTCACTGCACTAACTGTTTCACAAGCATTGTTTAATTTAATTTCCATAAAGAATCCCTGAAGTTGGTGTCTCCTCCCATTTTGATGTTCCCATGAGTTAAGTAATTGTCCCATTGTTCCCCCTGTGCTTAAGTAGCATAGGATTTGCTCTTCCCAAGTCCTCAGGGTTGCTCAAAGTATATAACATTGTAAATCAGATGATCTGCTGATCAATCAAGCATTATGTCAATTCAAAAAAACATTGATTGTGTGTCTACTTCGTGCAAGGTACAGAGGCACCTTTCCAGCCCTTGTGGAGGTCTTTGTTAATTTTTTTTTAAAGATGTAAGGTACAATTCAGAATTACACAAAATTATGAGTGTTGCAGCAACTTAGATGGATTTAGAGTCTATCATACTCAGTGATCTATCATGGAATCAAAGAACTGAGTACCACATATTCTCACTCATAAGAGGCCCCTGAACATTTATTTACCTTGTGGACTCTTAATGTGGACATTGATATTGCCAATGGCAGTGACAACCTGGGTCCAGGCCTGGGGCCTCTGGCTGCCATTTCTTGGGCCACCCCCCTGGGATGCCTGGAGATGCTCACCACATGTGATCTTCTTGCTGATGCAGTCGACATCCATGCTAAGCTTGACGGGGTCTTGGAGACAGTCCATCTCAGCGGCCTCCTCGTAGCACCTGCGATGCTGGAAGCAGCAGCTGCAACAGAGCCAGGAAGGGGCACGGCAGGAGTGTGGTTAGGGTGAGAGACAGGCCAGCAGCCCATGGCCATTCTGTGTCTCTGGATGGTTCCTGGCACAGTGGTCTGTTTCAATACTCAGTTGCTCATGTGTGCACGCGCACACACACTTTGCCACCTGCTGTCTCACAAGCTTCAGATGGCAGGTCTACACCGTCCCTGCCCAGCCTATGGGTTTTTGTAACCAGCATGCTGGCCCCGGATCTCAGCCTAAGGAGTTGGTGTGAAGGCAGCTCAGTAGGGAAAGCTCAGGCATGTCCTGATCCTTGTCTAGACATGAAATTTTTGGCTGCTTCTTGGTGACTGCCCCTCTTCCTGTCCACGTCCATATGTGGAGCCCACCAGTGTCCTAAACTGCCACTGCCAATCTTCATCTCTTCCCTCCTGCCTGGCCCCATGGAATAGCCGACTTCAGTTCACACTCCCACTCCTGATTGCTGGTGGTGGGAGATGCCACTGTATCGTTTTCTTAGACAGCGAGTCAAGAGGAGGCCAAGGTCGTTTTAGTGGCTGACACCTCTAAATAGAGAAGTTGACCCTTGAGTCATCAAAGTCAAGGTTAAGATGCCAGCAGCTATGCAGCCAGTGGAAAGAAGTGACAGATCACCAGCAAGAGAGGCCTTTGCATGTGACCCCTGCACACGTGCAATGCACAAGGCAGCTTGGTCGAACAGGTGACTTCTGTCAAAAAACAGAATCCGTCTTTTCTTGGGGATGGGAGTTTGAGAGAGAAAGGAGCAGATTAAGTCACATAATCTGGAGGTGAAAACATCGATCAGATCGTAAGACGTGAGCTAAACCCAACCTCTCAGCAGTCAGGCTGGAATCTGAACGGAACAGTTGGGATTAACACAGACAATGTTCTTAAAAAGAACACAAAGGGCAGCTCTTTGGTGTGAATAGTCTGCTTCTCACCCCACTGTGTAGACAAAGACTTCAGCGCCCAGAGAGAGGGTGACTTCTGGGAGGTCACATAGCCCGCAGATGGAGAGTCAGGCAGAGTAATTACCATGCGGCAAGTTCCAAGCATGTGGCTGGGCAAAACAGGGTGTCTAGCTGCTTACACAGAGCACGTGAGAGTTAGACGTTGGTGAGAACTGGGGATGGCTACATCCTTTGCAGAACATTGGTTGTAAATGGAGAACTCTGTACCCTTGAAGAGAGGGTTGGAGTCTCCAGGGTTCCAGCTGAATTTGTGGGGAGATTAAGCAATACCTGTGATGAAGAGACCCTCCAAAAGACATCCTCGTAAATTAGCCTCTACTACTAAAAAAGTTGAATGGCTTGGGTTACTGCCCTGCACGCACCTACATTCCTTAGAACCATAAGACTGTGCTGACCGTCCCTGAAACAGAATGAGCCACAGACCTCATGGTTGTGATCACGTAGTTAATAAAATAGGTTTCATTATTTATCCCCGTGATCAATACTATGATATTAATCATGAAACCGTAACCTTACACTTTTGTTTTGTTGTACCCATGGATTAACGGTGTGTGCTCCTCTTAGTAGTAGTAAGTTCTGCTAGCAATTCTATTTAGAGTTACAGATTAACTAAAATTTCAGGTTCCCAGTAATAGGTGCTAAGAATATGTAGGCAGTGAGTGTTATAATTGATGGAATGTCACTGAAACTGGAATTTTACGAAATGCTATGTAAATCACATGGTTTGATGCTAATTAATAGCTAACTTCAATGCTTGTGCTTATAAATACGAACGGTAGAGATGTAAAGAGCTGGGCTGGCCTTGGTGTCTATACTGGCTTGTCTCCTGAATTTCAGACTCAGGAGTAAACTTCTTTACTCCCAGTTCCCTGCCTCTCGGGTTTCACTGGCAAACGAGAGAACAGCCGTGTGTTCCATAGACCATGTCACCTCAGACCAATCCAGGGAGAAGAGTAGAGGATTGATATGAACCTGGGCTGGGAAGGAGGTCTGTGAATTGTAAGTCTCTCCCTCTGGTGCCAGGAAGGGAACAGCTGTGAATCTCCACTGCCCTCACCCCACCCAGCAGCACCACTGCCTGAGATTCGTCTTGGGAAAGTTACTTAGCTCTTTTCAAAATAGCTTTGTTTTACTTATTTAGTTTTTTTTTTTTTTAGTCAGGGTCTCACTTTGTCACCCAGGCTAGAGTACAGTGGTATGGTCATGGCTCACCCCAGCCTCAACCTCTTAGGCTCAGACAATCCTCCTACCTCAGCCTGTCACATAGCTGGGACTACAGATGTGAGCCATCACAACTGGCTAATTTTTTTAAAAAGTTTTGTAGAAATGAGGTCTCGCTATGTTGCCCAGGTTGGTCTTGAACTCCTGGGCTCAAGCAATCTCCCAGTCTTGAGCTCCCAAAGAGCTGGAATAACAGGTATGAACCACCCCTTTTGGCCACAAAATAACTTTTTGAGGTATGTATCCACATTTACCACTGAAGAAACTGAGTCTCAGAGATGTTTAGTAATAACAGTTCAGGCTTTTGAGTGCAACTCCAGGGACTGTTCTTAGCACTTCACATTTAATGCTCATTATAAGCCCATGAGTGAAATAGTATTATTATTTTTATTTTATAGATGAAAAAACAAAAACCCAGAGAGGTCAAGCAACTTGCCCGAGGTCTGCACAGCTACTCAGGGACAGAAGTGGGATTTGCGGGTCAGACAGTTGTTGGGAGCCAACATCTGTAGCTACATGGCTGAGGCCTGTAAAGGCCCATCTGGAAGATCGCTTCTGACATAGGATATCAGTTATACCTATAATATTGGCGTGTGATTAGTGACCAGTGTGCATACATGGCAGTAAAACTTATAAGTAAATCTCAATACACCTGATGGAAAGTGCATAGCAGAATTATTTCTCTCTGTCTTTCTAAGTTTTACTTCTTTCTAGACATTTTTTAACTTCTATTTCCTGGTAGACTGGGTAGTCAGCTCTTGTTCCCGAAAGCTGTTTCCCCTAGGGCTAAGATTAGAAACTAAATTACCATGATAGTTTTGTCGCCCTGCCCCTAGCCAGGCAGAACGTTTTCTTTTGTTTCGTTAATTACCGAAACTCTGTCTGCTTCAGCCCATGGCCACCATCTTGGCAACCCTGCATTTCCTTGTTCAAGAGTGTGACAGCTACTATTTGATTTTTAGAGTAGACTTGTTAGGATAAAATATATACATATACACTCATAGCTGCGTAAATCTATGCTTGCTGTTTTGTTTCCTTTTGCTACATTATTCAAGTGTAATAGTTACTGTACGATTTATAAAAGAATTAATGATAAGGTATTAGCTTAATAGGATATAGCATAGTATTAAAGGTCAATCATTAGATTATATAAAAATTAAAGTTTAGACATATGAAACATATGAATTATAGTAAAGTTTGGTAGTTTAAGAATAAGTGTCAACTGAGTTAT